GCAAAACTGTCACCCAGATCCATCCTAATGACTCCATCAACCAACCTGCCATCCCAGAAGGGACTGGTGACTAAGGGGCAGCACTAAGTGCCTGAGTCTCTCTGTCTACCATGTGCCCTGGCAACACTGATCCCTCCCAGCGCTGCCCAGACCCTTCTCCCCACAGCGTGGGAGGAAAGCAGAGCTGGTCTCAGGTCTGCTCCCACTGAACCACAGCACTTGAGGGTTCCCATGTCATTTCATCATGTTGATAAAAATTAATGAGCCATGCAGCTCAATTATTGAACTTTGGCTGCGTTCTGAAATGGTGAAGTGCATGAGAAGGATGTGGAGCTGCTGGAGGGAGCCCAGAGGAAGCCACGAAGATGCTCTAAGGACTGGAACACCTCTGCTACATGGACAGGGTGAGAGAGCTGGGGTTATTCAGCCTGGAGAAGGGAAGAATCTGAGGAGACCTTAGAGCCCTTCCAGTACCTAAACAGGCTCCAGGAGAGCTGTAGAGGGACTTTGGACAAGGACTTGGAGTGACAGGATGAGGGGGAAATGGCTTCAGTCTGACAGATGACAGGGATAGATTTGGTGTTGGGAAGAAATTCTTCCCTGCAAGGGTAGTGAGGCCCTGGCACAGGATGCTCAGGGAAGCTGTGGCTGCCCCATCCCTGGAAGTGTTCGAGGCCAGGTTGGATGGGCTTGGAGCAGCCTGGTCTAGTGGAAGGTGTCTCTGCAGGGGAGTGGAATGAGGTGGTCTTGAACATCCTTCCCAGTCCAAACCATTCTAGAATTCTACAGGCTGCTGAACTCAGCCAAAGGAAGAGCAACATTGCAGAGGTTAATGAAAAGGGAGACTAAAACCACCTGTGTTTGCTAATTAAATCCCTTCACACATCAATTAAGATTGTTCTGATAAAGACCAGGCAGCACTCAAACAGATGCTGAACAGGGTTCATCTGGTGTATCTCTGGGTAAGATCACAAAGGAGCTATTGTTGCTCATTAGTCAGGGCTGAAATCTAAATCTCAGCAAGTGCAGCTTGCAGGGTGACGTGTGCTGGCACCGGGGCCCCAGTGTGGGACTTGTTTTCAAAGAATCAGGAAATGCAGAAGAGAGGTTCCTGAAAACGGCCGGAACGGAGGCATCTGGCCAGGGATTTCATATTCACAACCGGGAGGGAAATCTAATCAGGACTCGCTAATTTTCATGAAGTCAAACACCTGGGATTCACTTCAGGCTCGCATTTTCCTGGAATAATTCAACACAAACACTGTATATTTATACATGGGCACTTGACTTTTCTGTTGTTTGATGAGACTACAATTTGTCTTCCTCTTGTGGTTCCTGCAATCCTTCCTCTCCTGCGGTTTCCAGTCAAATTACCCACCTCTACCCCAGGACTGTTCATCTGTTATGCTTTGGATATTGTTGGTTCTTCAAAGGAAAGCAGACAATGCTTGTTTAAGCCAGCCCAAGATTTTATTTGAACCAGGTTCTGCATCAATCCAGAATCCAATCTCATCTCTATTGTTGTTTTTCCTGTATTATTTTTCCACTTTTCACTGCTTTTCCATTTCTTCTTCCTATGCAGTTTTCATTCTTCAGCAACATTGTTCAAAACTATGTAGAAGTCAAATGCTTCTGCTTTTATATTCATATCTGCTGTTTTACCTAATCTCAGCTAATTCTCTATTTAACATCTAGTTTTACCTGGGCTGACAGGTGTATTTTTAAGCTGTAAATACCACAAATAAGACATACAGAAATTTTCTTACCCTGTGAAGCTGATCAAGGTCCTTTTCTAATATGTCACTGAACATCTGAATTGTCCCTTTCTTCCAACAGCTTCTAGTGCTGGTTTTGGCTAAGATAAAGCGGACAGTGCTGTTTGGATTCACTGCCTAGCTGTATTTACATCTCATTCAGTGGCTGGGGTAGGATGGCTAATTGGGCAGGCAGCTTGTGGAGGCAGCTCTGGAGAAATAGGGAAAGCAGAGCTGTGCATGGCCAGCTTGATGCCTGTGCCAGTGTGAGCACCAGGCCAGCTGGGACACTGAGTCAAGGAGCTTTTTGTAGATCCACAGAATCATTTAGACTGGAACAGCCCTCTAAGATCATCGAGCCCAGCTGCTCCCCCAGCACTGCCAAGCCCACCACTAACCCATGTCCCCATGTGCCACATCTACATGTCTTTTAAATCCCTCCAGGGATGGTGACTCCACCACTGCTCTGGGCAGCCCGTGCCAGGGACCCACAACCCTTTTGATGAAGAAATTTTCCTCATATCCAATCTAAGCCTCCACTGGTTCAACTTGAGGCCATTTTCTTTTGTCCTGTTGCTTGTTTCCTGGGAGAAGAGACTGTTTGACTGTTTACACACACACATGCAGGGACAGATGGGCAAATGGCTTGGGAAGTCCCTGTGATTCGTGGTACAGAAACTCCTGTGCATGGTCCTTTTTGTTACACAGTAGGTAAAAACTGGAGCAGCTGAGATGTATCTTAACCAGGGAGAGATCTGAAGGCAGGAGGGAAAAAAGATGTTTTGAAATGGAGTAAAACTTGCTGCCAGGTTTTCCTCTGAGAGCAAGTCCAATTTCTTTCTCTCTTTTTTTTTTTCCTTTTGGTGCTGTGCTATTCCTCTGTGGGCAGGAGGCTGCAGGCATTTCAATTCTCTTCTTCAAGTCCTTATTTCAAAAAGGGCCCAAAATATGTTCTCTTCTAAGAGGCAGTAAACAGCAAGTGCACAATGCGGCTTCTCTAAGCCTCTCTTCTCCTGTCTCAGGGAGAAAGGAATTCACCAAGCCCTAGAGCCTGACTCACTCGCTGTGTGAGCATGAATTAACCAGGAATGTTCGAGAATTATTCCTGAATAATTCATGAACCTGAATTAATCATGCATTTTCATGAATTATTCATGAATAACTCATGGAAATGCAAGGTTTATTCATGCTCCAAAAAACCCAAGGCTTTTTCTCTTCTATTCTGCTCTCTCTCCCCGTAAGAAACAGACCTGAAACAAGCTAAGGAAAAAAATAATGTATGTATATGGAAAAATAACAGGAATAATAATACTGAAACAAAACAACCAGGAAAAAAAGAAAGCCAAAGCTCTCTTTTTCTTTGCAGTGAGGACAGCAGGTGGGAGCTTTCCAAGCCAGACAAAGGAGACCTGACAAGGAACTGTGGTGAAGGGACAAGCCCAAGGCAAAGAAGTGTCTGGTCACCACCTCTCCCGGAACAGGCAGCTGAGACCTGGAGAGACAGGAGACATCTTGCAAGACTCAACACCTGGAGCAGTGCTAACCAGGCAAGGAGCAGCTCTGTTGCTATCAGGATTTTGATCTCTTTCTTTCTCTGTGTGTTTGTGTAGTTTTGCTGCCTTCATTAGGGTAAATGAACAACTGGTTAGTGGGGAAGGAGGGAGCAGCAGCAGCTATGAAGATCAGTGTTTAAAGATCATTCTTTAAATGTTAAAGCAAAACCCCTCTAGAGAGCTTTTTGGGCAGGGGTTTTTGCTGTTTGGAATGTGGAGCTGTGTTTCTGGGAGGGAGAAGGCTGAGTTATGCATTTATCTCAGTTTCTGGTCTGTAGCCTTCCCTGTGTTCGGGAGAGGGCTGGGGGCAGGCTCCTGCTGCAGGGAAGGGGATGTGGGGAGACAGGCAGTTACCACCCGGATAATTTATATATGGTGCTACCTGATAAAAATAAATGTCACTGTGTCTTTGCCAGAAGGAGGTTGGAGAGAACCAGGTGTGAGACTGTGCCAGCAGGGCAGGCTGGCAGGTTTGGGGAGAGTTATGGTTGCTGCAAGGAGGTTTTCTGTAGCTGATGATGGTGGGGGGGGAAGGAGAAAGTTCTCCAGGGTGAACTTGAACCTTCCAAGTGAGAGGAATCACATTCAGGCTTGACTTTAATGTGGATGTGGAGGCAAAACAAGAAATTGCAATACATTGGCTCCTAGCTGCCCTTCCTGTCACCTTGTCCCTGCTCCACCTCTCCTCTCTCTGCCCCAGCTCCCCCTCATCAGCTTTGGACACCGTGGCCATTCTCCACGCTGTGCCCAGCACACAAGCTCAGCTCCTGCCCCCAGAACCCTTCTGCCAAATCCTGCTGCCAAGCAGAGCAGGCAGGACTGGGGTGATGCTCTGCCAGGGCCCTCAGGAGCTCTGGCAGGTGATCTCTGCTTGATTTTGTCCCCATCCATGGTTGAAAGGTGCAAAGAAACCCCTCCTGAGCTCAGCAGCCTTTGTCTCCTTAGCTGCTCCTCTGGCACAGGAGGTTTTGGAAGTCACCATCAGCCTGGCTGCTGTTCGATTGCTGAGCACTCTGTTTTCTCCAGGGCTTTAGGTCTGCAGATCCAGGAGGGGAAAGAGGGTATCTCAGTGGGCAGAGAAGTGGCCAGGACCCAGGATCCAGCTCCTTACAGCTTTCCTACTTGACTGCCTTAGATATATCTGTCACTGGTCTGTGCCTTAGTTTCCCCACGTGTGAAATGAAGGGAATTTGCTGTTCCCCTTATCAAAGCACTTTGATGTTTACTGGGGAAAATAACTGCACAGGCAAAGCAATGATCATTTCCTGGAATACTCCTGAGTCTTTTTGAGTCTCTTCTCTGTACTGCCTTGATATCATACAGATACAGCTCTGCACTGTAGCAAATTGCTGTAGAACCACTGAAGCCATTTGAGCTGTGATGGTTCACACAGGCAGAGGAACCAGCCTGTGTCTGCTCAGTGGCTTATCCAGCATCTGCCCAAGGTGTCCTGTGTGAGAGCTGGTCTTGCCTGACCCCAGGTGAGACATATCATGGCTGTCCCTGCAGTTCCAATTCAAATTGAACTTGGATGCACCGAAGGCACGTGAGGCTGTACTCAGTCAGAGCCAGGGCATCCTCCCAGCCAAGGGGTTTAGGATGAGGCAAGCACAGAAGGGCAGGAATGGGAAAGGAGAAATAACTAGTAAAGATACAGGGAGAAGTATTTTCTACCTGCAGGCTGCACTGCCCCAGGCAGAGTGTTGTTTGCCAACACTTCCAACCACGGGAGAGCCCGGAGCTGTGCCATAACATTCCCCTGCTGCTCCCCCTGCTCCAGGTGGGCAGCCCTGATGTCAGCCAAGCTCTATGTCCTCATCAGCTGGCCCGACGGCAGCCGGGTGATCAACATGGAGAACATCAAGGAGCCCCGCAAGCCCTTCCACCTCTACACGGTGGGTGAGCAGGTGCTGGCCCGCTGCCCCGGCTTCAGTGGGCTCTACTGGGGCATGGTGGAAGGCATAAGTGGTGAGTGACACCCCTCTGCACTGGGCTTTGCAATTTGGGGCTGCTCAGGACCGACCTGTCGAGAGGGAGCGCTGAAAAATCCTCTCTTTCCACAGAGCACAAGGATATTTTAGAGAAGAAGCTGCTGGAAGACAGGCAGCTCCTGGAGAAGTTAAGTGAGTAAGGTCTTTTGGGGGGTTGCACCCTTCTACTTCCGTGGGGCTTTTGGGGTGGGAGGATGCTGAGCACATTGTAGTCCCATCATAAATTTCACATCACAGCAATCAGGGTAAAAAGCACTGGGAGGGAGGTGGGAGATACACAACACTGATGCCCCATTGCACTTCTTGAACACCCTCCTTCCTTTCAGAAGCAGAACCGGCTGTCCACAGCATGATGCCATCCCCACCAAAAAAATCCAGGAAAACCTTCCCAAAATGGACCCCGGGGAATGCATCCAGGAAATACCACGGTGACAGGGCCTACCCTGCAAAGCCACTGCTGAGGGCAGGCGAGGACAGCCTGCCCCATGACGCTGGCAGCTCCTCCATCCTCAAGGAGAAACGTGTCCTGGGCGCTGCAGCAGGAAGCCCCTGCTCACTGGCAGGTCCTCCCCACCCAGCCAGCGCCTTCACTCCTCCATCCACCTTCATCACCATGGCCATGCCGGGGCCAGGGACTTCCCAGGGTGAAGAGGAGAGGGCTGGTCCAGCTACCAGAGGTAACCTTGGGTTCTTGCTCTCCTGCCTGGTCCTGAGCGGCACAGTGGGATGGGGACCTGCAGAGCAGCCAGGAGACCTCTGCTTTGCTCTGGGGCTGTGTGTGCTTTCTCTTAGGGCTACAAAGGTTAGAGATTAAATTTTGTGGTCCTTTTCACCTGGGAGGTCTCCTCCAGGAAGGCTGTCTAAAGGGAGATACCTCTGTGATGGTGTGTGGTATCTGCTCTATCAGCCATCAGCTCTGTCTCCTGGGATAGCAGTTCTCTCCCCACAAGCCAAAAGGCAATGTAGCCTGCCTGAACAACTGTCAAACACCCAAAAGCCTTGTGTCTCAATTAGTCAAACCTTTCCAGATTTGCCTATTTCCCTGTTTTTCCACTCACCACTACACATGTTAAATGTACTTATAAAAATATGTTAGTGTGTTATTTACCTGCTGACTGACAGCAGTGCCCAGAGACACGTTGGCTCTGCTTACCTTGCACATGGCTTCTTTTGTGATGAGAACAGGAGAAGCCCTTGAGATACCACCTTTTTCTAATTACAAAATCCCAATTGATCAATCCTGGAAAACATGTCTGGATCACTCTGTTTGTGCAAAGGGAATAATCTGTTGCCATGCAATCTAGCAGGAGTGCTTAGATACTCTGTTCTGGAGACAGAGGGATCCAGGACCTTCTCAACAGCTGATTTTTCAGCTTGTCTCCCATCCCTGCTGCAGATTACGTTGCCTTGCCAATGAAGAGGAAGTCAGATGGCATCTTGTCCCAGTGCCAGCAACACATCTGTCTGAACAGGTAACACCTGAAAGAGCAGTGAGGACCCTGAATGTTTCACACCATATACATTGATTTCATAGCACGGGGTCTGTCCACTCTGTTTCCATTCCCTGGTGGTGCTTGATTTGAGTAAATGTTAACGGAGGCTTAAACCCAAAGCACAAAAGGTAACAGGAGTTTGTGTGGGTAAATACAGCAGAGCAATTGAGTCTCTTTTGCTCTGGAGTCCTGGTTCCTTGGGGGGGTCAGTGGGTGGTCCTCCACATCTGTATGAGAGGGGTTGCACAGGAGATTGTCCATGGGAAAAACTTCTGATATTCCCTCTCAATCCATTTTATTCTTGCTGCAAATGAAAAAAGAAGTGACTTTGCTTTAAATTACAGCCTTTGAATCACAGATAATTCTCATCAGGTATGAATATGAATATGAATATGAGCATGAAGCTGTTTATGGCAGTTCTGTTTAACTTGCTTGTTTCTTCCAGCCGTGAAGAGCAAAAGATTGACACTTTGCAAGAGATGGATGACTTCGAGAGGGTTCAAAAAAGTTTCAGTCCTGGTGAGATGGAAAGGTAATTAGCAAAAGAAGGCACTTGTTCTTAACTGTGTTTTCTTCCTCACTACAAGAGTGAGCAGTGAGATCACAGCTGGGTGACAAAGTGGTGCATTTAAGAACCAAAAGTTGCTGAGTCTCTTTGTAATCAGAGCCAGGTGTTTCTGACTGTAGGGCTTGGAGTTAGAGATGCAAGAAGGCTCTAAAACAGTGCAGAAACCACAAAGCTCTTGCCAATAACAATCAAAATGACACCTACCATGTTTGAACATGGTTGTGTGTTCCTTGTTTTATTGTTCATTACTTTGATGACAAGTATCCAGTTATAAAGGGATGCTAGGGGAAAGTTTTCTTGCAAAGAAATGCGTGCCAAAAAGATTCACGTTATGGTTTTTGCATTGCAATTTCCCACATTTCTGTTGTTTAATACCACAAATATGTGCCTCCTGGGACTTGCAGGATAGGGCTTACGTTTTTCCTTAAAGTTGAGAAGAAAATTGAGCATCAAAATCTCCATATCTGCATGACAAGGGGGAGCTGAGAGTTAAACTGAACATTTCTGAGTTACTGAAAAGTCCAGACCATGTCATTCTTCTCTCTTGCCTTACTCCTCACCCATAGTTGGATGGGCTGATACTCTGTCAGAGAAGTTGTCCTGGCCTTTCCTGCAGGAAGTGTGTAATCACTGCTGGGGTGGAGATGCTACATCCCACGGTGAGGCCATCGCGCCTTCTTGCCCTTACACATTCAAGTTTAATTTTTCAGGGTGGAGAAGATAGAGCAGCTGGAGAGGATGGTGTTTGACCTCCAACAGGATGTCCTCTCTCTGAGGAAGAAGGTGCAGAGGCTGGAATCCCTGTCCTTCCAGGAGGAGCCCCACCGGCAGCCGTGCGAGGTGGTGGAGCTCTTCAACGGCTACACCAAGGAACAGCTCAAAGAAACCATCAGGTTTGACCAGAAAATCAGCACAGCCTGCAAGACACTGCTCTACAAGCTCTTCACCTCTGACTACATCCAGAGCCACTCCATCACGGGGCGGAGGGGCAACACCTTCCGGGAGGCAAAGCCCATGATGGACGAACGCTGCATCAAAATCATCAGGGTGCTGTTGAAGCAGAAGTTTGGAGATCACCTCAGTGACACCGTGATCACAGAGAAGATACAAAATGTGCAGAAAGCCCTGAGGCAGAAGTTTAAGACAGAATGTCTCTGAGGCACGGGGGGTACTTGGTGGCTCCTCCTGCCATTCTCATGTGTGCACCTGAGCAGCCCTCCCGGGAAAAGATGAGTCCAATCTGCTGCTGTCCAGTTGATTTCCCCCAAGGAGCCAATCCAAGGGAACCATGTGCTCAAACCTTTCACTGCCAAACCTCTGCCCATGTTGATTGAGTAGGAATTCTGCCCAGCTTGGCCGAGTTTTTGCACGTCTGCCAGCACTCTACAGGTTCCTTCCTACCCAGTCTGTGTGTGAACCTCACTGCGGGTGCATGTAATTGTCTCTATGACTTTTTGATGACGTGCTCAGAAGCTGAGGTCCAGGTATGGGTCAGTAAGTCAGCTGTGTTTAACCTTGCAAGGGGTTAGGGAGAAATGTTGGCTCTGGGATAGGGAGTCCAGCTGTGGATGGAGTGTGTGTCACCTAACAGGGCTTCTCTCTGCATGATTCTGGTGTCCTCCTTCTGCCTGTGGGACAATATTTGTTCTCTTTGCTCTCAGTGAATGTGTTTTACAATTTCCTGCAGTAACTGAACAGCAGACTCATAAACAGCACCATAAAACTTTCAGAGAAAGATAATTTCATTTTTTCCCCCTCTATTTTAATATAGCTGTATGGAAGAATTGTCTTCACATACAAAAACCTCCTGAAAAATAGAAGTGGCCACCTGTGGAAATTACTTTGCATTAATTTTCCTTTCAAGAGCAGATTATTTCCATGGAGAAATCCTGTGCATTTTCATGACACAAGAGTGAGGGATGAAGGACAAAATATGGCCCACTGTAGTTACATCTTTACTTCAAAGATCAGACATGCTATGGACACAGTTACCATAATTTAAGTACAATATTTATATCCTAGTTAAGAAATGCCAAGTACAACCAGAGAGTTTGCTGAGAGACTATAGAGAAGGGCTAGAAAGACACATCTTTTCCTAAATAGTTCAGAGCTGGAGTTTGGGTGGCTTAAAATTGTTTTTAACATTAAAAGAATAAGATGCTGACACCAGTCCACTTAACAGAAGTGCTGCAAAATGCCAAACATTCTCTTTTACAAAGGCTTCTCGAACCAGAAATTTGGTTTTCTAAGCTTAACTTTTAAATTATTCAGGAAAAGAAGTGTCAGTGGTTTTGCATTAATCAAAACATTTGGTTTAATTTATATGTTTTGTTGTGTTTTCAAGTATTTAATTTCTTCAGAGTTACATGAGAAATAATAAGACAAAATAAATGTATTGGAAAAACAAGGAGCTGTTTTGAAAGGGGAAAAAAAAAAGAAATGTGTTATTTTCCCGAATTTTCCTTCCCCTCTGCCTTTTTTCTAGTTGAAAAACAGAATCATTAAAGTAGGGCTAATGCTCTGAAGCATTTTGATTTTGGAGGGAGATACGCTTGGCAATGTTTCTGGCACTATTTTCATCAGATGTTTCTAACAGTCACATTAAATTGGTGTAGATAACAACTAAAGATATTCCTTCTGTTTTCCCAGTGCAAATGCTTTTCCTAACTCTCTGTTATGCAAACATGCTGGTGATTTCTCCTTCGCAAGGACCTTGACTCGAGCAGCAGCTGGAGCAGGTCTGTTGTGATCACTTAGAGCTGAGAATGCAGCCAGTCCTTGAAAAGACACCCAACCTGAGCAGAACTGCCCCCAAACCTCCTCAGTGCAGAAACACACCTGGAAATCCTGCAACCTTGCTGGAAGCATCTTACCTTCCCACCACAGGGAAGGCCTTAGGCTGGTATCACTGCTCAGGGAATGTATCACTGTACCACTGCCCCAGGTGATGTTTCTAATGTTGACTTACCAAAGAGAAGATTGAGGAGGCACAGCCTTATCCTGCAGAACCTTAAAGACCATCTCATTCCAACTCCCTGCCATGGGCAGGGACACCTTCCACCAGACCAGGTTGCTCCAAGTCCCATCCAGCCTGGCCTTGAACACTTCCAGGGATCCAGGGGCAACCACAGCTTCTCTGGGCAATCTGTGCCGGTGTGCCTCTCTCAATCTTCCCTCCTGATGCCTCATCAGATTCCTCACCAAGCTGCAGCCTTGAAAGCCAGCTCACAAATATTATTTATTAAAACAAGTGCTGCTGCTGTCCTCCCCTGCTGAGCCCCCTCTGATGAGCTGCAGATCATTACTGCAAGAGGAGGGAGAGAAAAACCCGAGAGAACGGACTTGCTGTGGGGCACGATGGCTCCCGAAACAAGTCGTCTCTAATCAGCTTCCCTGGAAGCAGATGAGCTGGGTGACCTTTCTGCTTGAAAGACCCTTTGGTGGCTCCCTCAGAGGTGACTTCACAGCCTAAAACACTTGCTGATATTCAGCAAGTGCTCCTGGTAAGTGGGCTGATGGATGCTCCCCGGCTCTGCGCAGCACTGCCGCAGCACTAATGAGTCGATGCTCAAATGGGCCCTTCTCGGATATAAAAGTTGTCCTCAGCTGCTCTCAAAGGCTTTGATACAGCAGAGAGGGTTGGAGAAAGGCAACGCAGGCGGCTTTTCTTTAAACTTAATTTTTAAGGTGTTTGCAGGCCAGAGGCAGTGTTTCCAGGCTAATTGGGAGCCCTCGCAGACATCAGCGATCAGACGTCACCGTGAGGATGCCGATGCTCTCACCTCCCTGAACTCTCCTGCTCTGGCTAATCAGCCTCAAGAGGGGGATCATACAGCACTGAGATGTGGCATCCCCTCAGGGATGAAGGGGTCAGGGCAGACAGAGGAGGAGGAGGAGCATTTATGCCAGAACCACTTCACTTGGGGGTGTTCAAAGCCCATCTCTCTCTAAGTGATGAAGGGCAGCTCTATTGAATCCCATTAACCTCCCACTTTACGTGAATTACTAGAGAAAACTGTACAGGTCTCTCTGTTGAGATTAATTACTCTGCTGAATCCTCAGCATCTTGTTAAAAATGATACTCTCTGTTCAGCTTGTGGGCTGTCTGGGTGCAGGAGGACAGGGACAGTGAAAATAGAGGTCAAAACTCAGTGGTGTCTTCAAGGACTTTTTGCCTTTTAAAAGGAAGCAGAAAGGGGACTTGTCAACTTTTGCAAATATAGGACAGGCATGGAACATCCAGTCCTCCCTCCCTCCAGCAGGAACCAGAGCAGCAGTTCTGTCCTCAGGGCTTTACATGATTCAACCAGGGTGTGCAGCAACTGAGCAGGGACCTTACAGGGCTCTGGGGCTCTCTGAGGGCCCTTGTCCCCCCACCCAACACCTCAAAACACTGCAATGGGGCACTGCCACCCACCACCTGATTACACCTCTTTTGTTTCCTTAGGAGCTGTGTGTTACTCACTGGCAGCAATACACGGGATTTCAGGGAAAGATGGAGCCTTCACCATTTATTTCAAATTAATTTCCTTGACTCTTCCAGGGGGATTCCATGTCCAGTACAGGCAGATTTTAATTTTCCCATTATGTGGCTTGTAGGAAACACTCACCACTGAGTCTCTCAATGTCTGCACTGCGTGCATCCCCTAGAAACCATAACACACCCATTCAGTGACATGCAAACCACGAGTATCAGATAAAGGAAAAATGTTAAAATGGAACTAAATCCCTTCTTGGATCTTAATCAAGGCTTACAAAGCCTGGCTGCCTTTACATGAGCCCCAGACAGCCATTGCTGAGTCTGCCTGATGCTCTGAGCTGGCTGAATGCAGTTGGAAAAAATCATCTGACAGAGAATGAATGGAACAGCAGATTGTGGAAGTGTCCTGTGCTCGTGTCTTTGTCTTGGCTTGAGATCCTCCATCAGGCAGCTGAGGGACACAGAGAGACCTCAGCTGGGGGGGGTCAATGAAATACCAGAAGAACAAGCCTTGACCTGTAGGAGCTTGAAGCTGTGTGACATCTCCACAGTGTCACAAGAAGATATTTTTTATTTTTGGTTCCGGTAAGTCTTTATCTTATTTGGCTTCAAAAAGACAGTGAAAGAGGAAAAAAAAAGCACACAGAGATGTGGCCCCAGAGCTATAAGTGTGTATTGTATTTGCATTTCTGGAATATTTTTTGATAAAAGTAATTTTTTGTACCGTTTTACATTTTTCTTGAAAGCATACCTGCATATTTTTTTTTTAAGAGTGCACACACACGCCTGGTAGGTGTGCAAATATATCAGATTTTATACTTTAAGCAATCTTTTATGTCTCTGCTTCAGTCACATATTCATTACACTTCATTTTTACCACTATTCCTCTGTCTGCAGTACATGATTGCATTATTCCACCTCATATCTCTCTATCTCCCCCATCTTTTCAGAGCTGAATGGAACTGGGGAGATCATTATTAAAACACAGAAAGTACAGAAATAAAATTAACCAGAGCATCAGTTCTCTGTGTGATGAATACACTGAGGAAATAAAAGCCTTCGACTTCTAATAAAATCTGGATAGGAATTGCCTCATAAAAGCTTAAATGAATTATATTCAGAGGCCAAAATGAGAGAAGAGAGAGAGCTCAGAGCCCTCTGACAGCAGGATTGCTGCTCTCCTGGCCTCGGTGTGCAGCCCAATGAAATATCCATGAAAGCTTTGGAACCAGGTGTGATGTTCTGCTCAGAAGGCGAGGACTTGATGTGAGTCACATGTTCACAGGTCAGTAAGTCCCTCTCAAATGAATATTAACCCACTGAGGTTGCTGGAGATCCTCCTGCTGCCTCCTGAGGTCTCAGCCCTCGCTTCTGTTCTCACCCAGGTCGCTTGATGGTGGAGGAAGGATCCCACAGAGGAGCAGAGGCTTCTCAACCCTGTTCTTGACCCACTCTGACCCTCCCAGGGTCCGACAAAGCATTTGGGGTATGGACATGGCTTCTCAGCTTCTTCATTTCTGTGCTGGAGAATGAAGGCTGGTGAGGAACATGCCCCAGTTCTTCTTCTTTGTAAAGCCCCAGTGTCCCCTTGTCAACATCACTTACGTGCTGTCCCAGGACATCACTGTCCTCGTGAGAAGCAGTCTGGGGACGTGTTTTCTTTTTGTTGAATGGGTTCTTTTGTTTGGCTGAATGTTAGCTGAAGCCAGGGGGACTGTGTGCCTAACTCTGGAACAGAGAGATTAGCATCCCAGAAAGCCAGGACTGCATGGTGCTTATTGATTGTTTCTCTTAAATATAAGCAGTGTAGCCCAGAGTATCAGGCATCCAAGGAAGAGGAGACTGCAGAACTGATGTACTCCAGGTAATGAATAATCGTTAAAACTCCAAAGGAGTTTATTATTGTTACCATTAATTTGTTGTACTGTGCCCAGAGACATGGAAGGTGGAGACAGATGAGTTCATGACCTGCGTATTACAGGCTAGGTTTTAGCCTGGTAATATGAGAAAATCGATCATTTCTTAAGTGAGAAGACTGATAAAATCACTGACTTCAGAGGAGCAACATCATTGCTTTTATATGTTCAACAAGCTCACTGGAATGGTGCCAGAGAAGGGTCAAATCCCTCTTCTGTATATCTTAAATTCAGGAGTTAGTTTGCCCTCTGTTTCCCAGAGGCAGGAGGGAAGCAGGTAACACCATCCAGCGTTCACACCTTCACTCATGGCAGGATTTCCCCTCCGTGATAACCTGCCCCTGTGCAGGTTGGACATTCCCTGTTCTATTTGTTGACTCCCTGAGGTTTTACATACCCCGAATTCATAATAAATTGCCAAAAGTGAAAGAAAGCCATAGGAAGACCCCTCCAGCCAAAAAAAGGCTGGGCCAAAAGTCAGAGGTTTACTGTTGTTCCTTAAAGTGGTTCAGTCCAGGAGTAAAACACTGCCATGATGTGAGAACCCTGCTCTTCTTCATGGTCCCCAAATTACTTGAGCATGTTCCTTTGTACTTCACTGTGTTGTGGAAATGACTCAAGCAAGAGGACTCCTTCCTCTCCTGGAAACTAAACAGCAAAACTAGCTACAAACCACCCACAAAAAAAAAAGTCTGTTGTAATTTGTGCAGACCACAAGGGAGGTGCAAACTGCTCTCTGCTTTTTGGGTTTTTATGCAGTGTGTTTCCCAATTCTCACTAGAGGTGAACTAGGGAAGAAGTTGGGTTTGCTTTCTGCAGGAGTGCTGCTTTTCCATTTGCAGATCTTTCTGTATTTCTTGGCTCAGAGCAGAAGGAACAAATATGAATGTATTCATGGCCCTTCCAACAGGACCTTTAGGGTGAGAAATGAAATCAGTCACTTTAATGGGTTGTCTGGGTAGAGGG